AGATAGATACTTTACTTATCCCGATGGAAATTCAAGCATACAAACATACATTAGACTTACATTAAACATACATTAAAATGAAAAGTAACCTATAACATAGTAGCCGTACATTAAATTTAACTTGTATATATAAATGTATAATCATATAGAGTTATTATCTAGTACATGTCAGTAACATTAACATTTTTGTCTCCAGGTAGAGCGTCTCAGGAGTATGGCGGAGGTATCTCTAATCTTCTTCTATGCACCGTGGTGCGCTCACTCGATGGCTGCCCGGCAGGAAGTGCAGCAGGTAGCTAAGAAGCTGGCCAAGCAGGTACAGAAACCCGAGGACACAATAGGCACTCTGCAGGATTGTTTCAATAACAAATAGCAACCTTAACTGACGCCATCAGATAACCACTGACAAGGCAGCAAGTGCTTGTTGTTATGGAAACACGCCTGTCAATTTACAAAAAACACGTTAGACACGTAGAGGAGTAAATGTAAAGTTATTAACTCGAATGTTTCTGACTGTTGGGGTGTACTTCGTCAGGCTCTGATGTTTTTTTTAAATAGAGAATATAACACACGACTGAGATTGGTAACACAAACACTCCGTACCATATCAGTGGTCTGGAAATGTTGTTTTCTTTTCTTTGTTCAGCTCTTGTTTCTCTCTCTTACACAACTACAGGTGCAGTTTTTGGCTGTTAACTGCTGGTGGAGTCACGGGAAATGCAGGAGGCAAAACCGCTTCTATCAGTACCCGATCATCCATTTGTTTTATAGAAGGTAAGACGGAGAGCGCTCATGTTTATATTTAACTAAAATGGTGGATTGTGAATAGGCTTGGGCGATATATTACATTTTTCCAACCAGCCATCATCAGTCCAGAAACCGGTGATTGTCGATATATTCGGCGTGTGCAGCTCCCACTGTTATGGTTGCATGAAAAGGAAGCTTTTTTAACTCAGATTTTATGCATATGATGGCGTGTTCGTCCAAAAATTAGCCAGATTCTTGCAATTACACAGCTCCAATGGCAACGCTTATTTAATGTATGACATCTCCTGTATGAAATTGTGCGTCTGAATCTTAATGTAATGTGATCATTTTGTTGATCTATCATTTAAACTGATACAACTGAGCTGTAACGAGAAAGATCTGTTATGTTTTTGTGTTTTTGTGTGTTTCTGTTTTTCAGGTTTGGGCCAATAGAGTACAAGGGTCCATTTGTGGCTGCATATGTGGAAAGTTTTATCCTCAGAGTCATCACACCGCTCACTTACCTCCCATCCAGAGCCACACTTGACGAGTTCCTCTCCTGTCACGAGGTATTGTTTGCCTTCAGGCCGTCTGATGGAGAGTTGGCAGAAAAACATGAAGTCATGCAAGCTGCTAATATTGTCTTTCTTTAAGGAAAGACCTGAACGTCTTTCTGTCGTTCAATTTACATCATTTGTGCCTTCTTCGTCTCTTGTGTGCTTTTACTTCTAGCCTCGAGTGGTGGGTTTCTTCCAGTTTAACTCCTCACCTCAACCACCGGGGTACATCACGTATCTGTCCTCGGCCCTGCAGGCCCTGAGAAGGGGTAAGAGGAG